TTTTCCTTGTGTTCATCTTATCCTCCCTTTGCATCGCTTGAATTGTCGTCTTCAGACGTGTTTGTCCCTGTTCGAAGCTGCCCAGGACTTAACGGTGACAGGTAGTGACAGCCTGCCCGTATTTACGGTTGTATATCCTGCATCTTGTCCTGTGCAGGATCCATCACAGAATTAGCGGCACGGAAGCAGAACGGTCTCTGCAGTCCGCCTTATGGCAAACTGTAAAAATATATTTTGTGTTCGAAGAATATCTATCAAGCTAAAAATTCACACCCAGTATTGAAATAAAAGCCCATGTACTTTGAACCACGCCATGAAGACATGAAGGTGATCTGCCCTGAGCTGGATTACAATAATCGTTAAAAACTATTAGCCTGAGGCTCCCTTGATTCCACATCCCCGACCTCTAAAAGATGACTCCAAACGTAATTATCAATTAACAAAGTAATTACTTCTTGAACTTAAATTGATATCCGTGAAATGTTTTTCCTCTTAAATAGTACCCGGAAGGAAAGAGACCACTGGGAAGGCCAAGAAGTAGGAGGGTTGACAATATTAAAATGGATTCCAGAGAGATAGAATGGTATGGTATAGATTGGATTTATCTGGCTCAGTATAGGGACCAGTGGATTGAAAATGGTAATGAACTTTCTGGTTCCATAAAATACTGGGACGTTCTTGAGTAGCTGCACAATTGACAACTTCTCAAGAAGGGCTCAGCTCCATGAGTAAGTAAGTGAGGTTAAAGAGAGGGCGCGCCATAGCTCAAGCGGTTAGTCGCTGGCTTCCCACCGCGGCGGCAAGGGTTCTATCAAGTGGGATTTGTGGTGGACAAAGTGGCGCTGGGGCAGGTTTTCTCCGAGTACTTCGGTTTCCCCTGCCAATCTTCATTCCACCAATTGCTCCACAATCACCCTCACCTATCATCTGGGGCTGGTACAATAGGCCAGAAGTGGCCGCAGTACAAGGGACTTAGTCCCACCCCACTAGCAATAAAAAAAAAAGCTAGGAGTATGCTTACAATCTAAATGTGGTATTTAATATAAAAATTAATTTAGTGTGAAATGTACGGTTGTAACGCCGTTTAGTTCGGAGGAGAATATCACATCCATCTTCAGGGTCGAACATTAAGCCAAAGAATAATTTGGCTTGCAGCCCGTTAGTTTCTATGTTTCACTTTCATTTCGATCATGAAGACGGAGGAGGTATGTTCCTCCGAAACTTGGGTCTCCCAACTACACGGTGTCACAACCAAGAGGACCGTAACTGCAGAAGAACGGGTGTTTTATCTGTAATTTTTCAATGGGAATGAAGATTTCTTAACTCCTTGTAGCTCACAGTGTGTTTGTCTTTGTTTCTGAAACTTGCTGATTCTGCAGAATGACTGGAAGTAATGACTCAACCTTACATTGTACTCTCAGCTCGTATGTCTAGGGCTATTGCTGACTGTAACTAGACCTGGCTGCCGTTAGGCGTATAGCCCGCCGGCTGTGCATCTCTTCCTTACCATGCAGGATACAAAACATCTCTCTTTTCAAGAATATAGAACCATATTATTTATAATTTGTCATATAGCCGGTCAAGGTAGCCGAGCGGTCTAAGGCATGAACTGTCTTCGCTCGCTCGGAAGCCGGGATCGTGGGTTCGGATCTGTTTCCTGTGAGGTACGGACTGAATTCTTATATATTATTCTTATACACTGCCGGTCACGGTAGCCGCGCGGTCTAAGGCATGAACTGTCTTCGCTCGCCAACCTAAATGTGTTTTAATTGACGGCATATGATAGATGACAATAAATGACATTATGGATTAAAATGATACGCAACTCAGCCTTGAAATACACATGTTTCTGACCACAGGTCGTTTATCTAGACGAGACCTGAAGCGGCCTCCCTAATCTAGGGGTAACGTTCCCACCTCATGACTCAAGGTACGCGGGTTCAAACCCGGCGGAGGTCATGGAATTTTTAAGGGCGGAAAATTTCAGGGAACAAGTCCTCCGGGAGCCGTGGGTCCCGTGTCGTAGATTTACGGCGCGTAAAAGATCCTCATGTCTCTAGGAGACCTCTGAGCAAAATTAGGCAACAAGTTTCCCGCCCAAGTAGTTTCCAGTGCCTCTGGTAGATGGGGTAAATATCAGGTACCGAGGGCCGACCTCGTTGGCTGAACGGAACTGATAGCACGCACCAGCACCGGTAGGGTATGGCGACAGTAGAAATTAAATGGGAACGCACAATGGACCAATAACTGGTCTAAGTGCATGGGGAAACCCACCCTAATAATAATAATAATAATAATAATAATAATAATAGACGAGACCTGTGAGCTGTGCTTGAAGAAGAGACGACACATTTTAAAAGAAGTAGCTAGGTAGTAAAATTAGAGTATACAAAACTATAATTTTGCGCATGGTTCTGTATGGGCGTGAAACTTAGTCTCTGACATTAATGGAGGAACATAGACCGAGGGTGTTTGAGAACAGGGGGTTGAGAATATTTGAACCGAAGAGAGAGGTTGGAGAAAACTGCATAAGGAGCTTCATAACTTGTACCCTTCTCCAAGCATAATTAGAATGATCAAGCCAAGGAGGATGAGGTGGGCAGGGCATGTAGCACGAATGAGGGAGATGAGGAATGCATGTAAGATATTGGTGGGAATTCCAGAAGGAAAAAGACCAATGGGAAGGCCAAGAAGTAGGTGGGTGCACAATATTAAAATGGATCTTAGATAGAATGGGATGGTATAGATTGGATTGATCTGGTTCAGAATAGGGACCAGTGGAGGGCTCTTGTGAACACTTTAATGAACCTTCGGGTTCCAAAAAATGCTGGGAAATTATTGAGTAGCTGCAGAATTGGCGGCTCCTCAAGAAGGGCTCAGCTCCATGAGTAAGTAAGTAAGCGAGGCAGTGGTTGCAGATGCATTGCGGGAGGTAGAGATGTTAACGCACTGAAATTAAGGCCCTGTTAAAATACACACCCTGCAGTTCTTCATTAGTGACCTCAACCTAATCCACTGCGCATTCTGTTGTGAACGGATATGACATTTCTACTTAACAGTTGTGAACTTGGATTATTGGGAACCGGAATAGCTCAGTCAGTATAGCAACTAGGGCAAGGTCTGTGGCAGGGATAAGATATTTTTATTTTCCCCATAGCGCCCACATTGCCTGTGGGGCCCACTCAGCTCTCCTATCCAGTGGGTACCGAGCGTA